ACATTCGCATGTGCGAAGCGGATTAGCTGGCGTACGACTCGATCGCATGCAGGGCAGACATTGAAAGCGAGATTGTCGGTCGAGAGCAAACAAGCCGGTCGAGCTACCCCGGACAAAGGATCCATCCATGAGCGCATATTGTTTGCGGCCGTCGTCGCTGTATCCTCGAGGCGGAATTGTGTTTATCCTGCGTCAAGAAGGAAAAATGCATTAGTTTGTTTTTGGTGAGTCCCTTTCCAGTGGATTCGACAGCGGATGGACAAGACCGCCCGCTTCAAATCCTTCCGAGCGTTAGCTTCTATGAACTCATTTTGCGTGGCGTATTCTCCGGGCCGTTCTGCCTTCCCTCACTCGTTTCGCATCGTCTACCCTCACAGCGGAGCTCAATAAACCGATCTGACCGACTGAGTGAGATCCGAGTGGGGGTCCGGCGAGTGCATTGCACTTCAGCAATGCTATCACAAAACCACGACCAACACCGAAGGCACATTCGGAAGGAAACGGGGCAGCTAGCTTGGAGAACTAGGAGAGGCGGCAGAATCTGCAGAGGAAGAGACAGGAGAGAGCGAGCGAGAAGAAACTCATCTCTTCTTGCAAGATTGGAACAAGTAAGGAGACATTACGTGTCGTAACCTCTCAACAGCAACAAACGAGACGGTGAAGATGAGGGGAGGAAGCGAAGCGGATGATAAAGTCGGCAGAAGTGTTCGTCGCGCGAGAAATCTCGCAACCATCTCACCGAAAAGTCTCTCAGCCGCCCCATCTCCCTCCTCTCGCAGCGGGGAGCAGCGAGACGAACCTGTTCGTAGCTTCTGTTGTCCGAAGCGCTGTTGAGTTTCGGAGCAAACAGAACAATTTGACAAGTGACAAGCGGGATTGTCACCAAAGTGGTCAGGCTTCTCCCATTTCGAGTAACAGCTCCGGATCCGACGGAGACAACCTCGGAATGCCGTTCCGGACATCGAGTACATCTCTCTTCATGTAGAAGATCCGTCGGGACCGGATTTTGCCTATGAGGGAAATGACACAAAATGTCGATAAGACATATGCGTCCCGGAGACGCCCGGGAAATAGAGCTCCGAGGGTGATGAGGAGCGAAGGCTTCCGTGGATAGTCCAACCGATCCATGAAGATAGATCTGCCGGTGCTAATCCCTTGAGGGAGCCCCCGTGGAACTTCTGCTGATTCCATCCTTCGTTCGCATGGGGGACTGACTAACTGAGAGAAGGCTTTGAAATTCCTCGCCACCGTGCGCTTCTTCAACGATTGCCGCCGGAGCGTGAGGAAGCTTATTTCTGCGTGCGGGAACGCTTCCGCCGCACTTCAACTCCGCGAGCAGCTGCTTGCCTTTCAGAAGATCTTCCTGTTCGAGGATGCAGCCTGGGAAGCAATTTGATCAAAGTCGCGGTCTGAGTCGGCGGCGACGTTTTCTGTCGTCGACGACTGCGGTCGCGACGCCGACGGTGGCGGCGGCGACGACGACGGCTTTATTGGACACGGAGAAGCTCTGCGACCGTCGTCGGGCGTATTCAACGCTCGCTTGAGTTGCTGGAGCACATCGTTCAACTTTGAGCGGGAGAAATGTCGCTACCACAGGGGAATCGGTAGTTTCGCTCCTCCGTTCGCTGCCTCCACCGGCTGCTCGGTAGTTCGGTGACTCTCTCTAAACCGCTAGCTATGGCGAGACATTGGGTGGCCGTTCTGCGCCCGTCATCTATCCGCGTTCCAGGGAGCAGTTGCAGGATACCAGAGGAACTAATTCACAGCCAACAGGAAACTCGATGTAGTCGCTCGGTAACATTTCCGGCTGAGTATATGTGGGAACAGACGAAAGGAAGAAATGAGCAATAGTAAAACGAGGGAACCATAAATCGTGTTCTCGATAGTGAGCCAGCTAGTCCGAGGGCGACGGCCTTCAAGAATGTAGTGCTTGGTCGAGTAGAGGGCGTTACGGTCCGGATCCCCTTACGCCCCGACTCACTTCGAATCTTCTACGAAAAACGACTAGAAGGAAAAAACTGGAACAAAACTAAAATTGAGCCGAGCTCCGAGCTCGAGCTATTACTGGCGCTGTTCCGTCCCGCAGCTCGTCGAATTGAGCGAATCCGATATTTTGAATCACGAATTCGAAAATACAAATGCTTCGATTCCAGCGATCCGAAAGAAGTTCCGAGAAAATCAGAAGCTCAGCAGCTGAGAGGGAACGCTCAATGATTGGAGGATGGGTACAGTTTTGGGAAATCTGAATTTCTCTCTTCCCTCACTTGTACTCATTTTGATTAAAATCGAAACCTTGGGCCGCGGCGGAGACGGGATAGGGGTTAGTGTTCGCTCTCAGAAGCACGTGTCATCTTGAGGGCGAGGTATGCGGTGATAGCCTCTACAAACCCCAGGACAAGGCACGCTCGGTGGGCCGAGGGAATTCACCACGTCGAATTGTACAGT